GAAACCTAGCAATTCGAAGTAACAGGCGGCGCACTCCAGGTACTCTATCGCAAACAAACAAGCATACAAAAAGTACTCAACTAATGCATAGGTAAAACTCAAATAAGAGATCTAACCAGAAAGTTCAACTTAAGAACTCCGGTTGGCAAAAAGAATCGAATCGAACGAAGCAACAAAAGACAAACGGCAAAAGAAACAGGCTTCGTTTGCTATTCTGGATCTAGGATAATTTTTACAGTGGCAAAAACTTGTTTAAGTTGGTTAAATGGAAAGAGCGTTTCGAGACGAAACTCCAGGCGCTTGAATCGCTTTATTCCGATAAACGAGCGAAAAGATAAACTAAAACAAAAATTGGATCAGAAATCGCGATTAGAAAATCACGGATTTAATCCGAGAAAAAGAAAAACGACGAACAGTTTAACGAACGAACGTTCGTTAACTGAATCTAAACGAAGAACGCGTTCGTTAAAACGAAGGAGCGAATGCTCGCTAATTAGCCTAAACCGGGAAAAAACCGATCTAAAAAACGAAACAAAAACAAAAAACCGACGAAAACAGAACGGTTTTTCCGGGAAAACCAGCGGCGGGATCGAGGTAAACCTCGGGCGGCGGGACGGCGGCGGCGGCTTTGGCGAGGCAGCGGCGTCGGCCGCGGGCGGCGGTGTCGGGCGCGGCGGCGGGGTCCGGCGGGGCGGCGGCGGCGGCGGGCGGCGGCGTCGGCTAGGGTTTCGGTCCGGGGTGGGCCGGCGGCTTATAAAGGCTGGGTCCGGGGGAGTCCGGGCCTAGCACGGCCCGTAGGTCGGATCGGACATTTTTTTTTAAAAAAACTTACACTCAGAAAAAAAACAAAAGGACTACTAAACGGACTCCAAAAAGTCCCGAAATAAATTTTCCCCGGCTTCTAAAATCAAGCCGCACAGGATGAACATTTATTTGGGGCTAAATGCAATTTTAAAAAACACACATTTTTCCTAAATTTAAATAAAATAGCAAATAAACCAAATAAAATCTTATTTGATTTTTTATTAAATTCTCAATATTTCTTTATTTTGGGAAAGTCATTTTATTCCCTCTCTCATATTTTTGTAATAGAAATAATTGAAGATAAAATAAATAAAATCAAATGATCCTATTTTCAAAATTTGAGACAACTCAAATATGAAAATAACGAAATCCCCAACTCTCTCCGAGGGTCCTTGAGTTGCGAAAAATTTCTAGGATCAACCAAAATGCAATAAATATGATATGCAATGATGATCTAGTGTATAACATTCCAAATTAAAAATTTGGATGTTACAGATATTATCGAGGTGGACTATGATGGAGAGGGGCACCACACACGGCTAAAAAATCCAAGAGATCAATTGTTGTGTCTATGGGGTGCCCCCTGACCACGTATATAAAGGAGTGGAGGAGGGGGAGAGGGGCGGCCCCAATGGCACGCCCTGGAGGAGTCCTACTCCCGGTGGGAGTAGGATTCCTCCCCTTCCAAGTAGTAGGAGTAGGAGACAAGGAAGGAGAAGAGGGAAGAGAAGGAAGGAGGGGGCGCCGCCCCTCCCCCTAGTCCAATTCGGACTAGTCATTGGGGGGGCACGCGGCTTGCCTCTCTCTCTCCCCTAAAGCCCAATAAGGCCCATATACTTCTTCCCCCGTATTCCCGTAACTCCTCGGTACTCCAAAAAATAACCGAACCACTCGAAACCTTTCCGATGTCCGAATATAGTCGTCCAATATATCGATCTTTACGTCTCGACCATTTAGAGACTCCTCGTCATGTCCCCGATCTCATTCGGGACTCCGAACTACCTTCGGTACATCAAAACACATAAACTCATAATATAACCGTCATCGAACTTTAAGCGTGCGGACCCTACGGGTTCGATAACTATGTAGACATGACTGAGACACGTCTCCGCTCAATAACCAATAGCGGAACCTAGATGCTCATATTGGCTCCTACATATTCTACAAAGATCTTTATCGGTCAAACCACACAACAACATACATTGTTCCCTTTGTCATCGGTATGTTACTTGCCCAAGATTCGATCGTCGATATCTCAATACCTAGTTCAATCTCGTTATCGGCAAGTCTCTTTACTCGTTCCGTAATATATCATCCCGTAACTAACTCATTAGTTACAATGCTTGCAAGGCTTATAGTGATGTGCATTACCGAGTGGGCCTAGAGATACCTCTCCGACAATCGGAGTGACAAATCCTAATCTCGAAATACGCCAACCCAACAAGTACCTTTGGAGACACCTGTAGATCACCTTTATAGTCACCCAATTATGGTGTGACGTTTGGTACACACAAAGTGTTCCTCCGGTAAACGGGAGTTGCATAATCTCATAGTCATAGGAACATGTACAAGTCATGAAAAAAGCGATAGCAACAAACTAAACGATCAAGTGCTAAGCTAACGGAATGGGTCAAGTCAATCACATCATTCTCCTAATGATGTGATCCCGTTAATCAAATGACAACTCTTTGTCTATGGCTAGAAAACATAACCATCTTTGATCAACGAGCTAGTCAAGTAGAGGCATACTAGTGACACTCTGTTTCTCTATGTATTCACACATGTATCATGTTTTCGGTTAATACAATTCTAGCATGAATAATAAACATTTATCATGAAATAAGGAAATAAATAATAACTTTATTATTGCCTCTAGGGCATATTTCCTTCATCCCCTAGTACCCTGCCACGGGGATCGACGACACAAACGTGGCCGACCTGTCGACCGCTTCGGCATCAGGCCAGTAGCTTGATGTCGCTGAGCTGGTTGTGGTCTTCGTCCTCGATCGGCGGCAACATAGACTTGTGCTCGCTCTAGCTCTCCGTCTTCTTCCCCATGGTGGGCTTCCTCCCGAGGAACAACTTCATCTTCTTCCTCCCAAGAAGTTCCTGCAAATGCTGCTCCTCGTTGCTGTTAGTCGTGGTGCGGGTGTTCCCCTTCTCCATGGTACTACAACACTCGGATGTGTGGTTCCGGCAGGCGGCCGCATTGACCTGCAGGGCGACTTGGACATGGCGTTCTGGTGCCGACTACTTCGACGGCGCGCTCAACATGTTTGAGGAAATGAAGGTTGTTTGCGTCAAGCCAAACCTGGTTGATGTTAAGTGTAGTTGTTAACTCCTAATCATATGCATCTATGCAACCAAACGTCGGGTGAAAATTGCATTACGATGACAAGACCCCATATGCAGGCAACCAAACTACTTGACAATGTCGTTTTTTCCCTCGCAAAAAAAGACAATGTTGTTTTCCCCTTGTATTTTTGTAACCAAGTCCTACTCAGCTTGACTCATTTTCCTCCTCTCAGCCAAGCCGTGCTGCGAAGGCAACCAAACAAGGAGCTCCTACTCCATGCCTTCAACGCCATCTAACTAATCTGACGCTCGTTGCAACGCCCTGCTGGGCCAACCCATGAATGCGTAACGCCAGCGGACAAAAAAGTAAATCCTAAAAAGAGTTCTTCCAACAAGGATTCAAAATCTTTACAAACCCTCTCGACTAACCAGTAGGGCTACCTGCTACTAGTAATCAGTAGTCCCTCGATATTAAGTAAGGACAATACTGGTTGCGCGGTTCCAAAAAACAGAAGTTCACAGATTAAAAAAAGTTTGTGAATTTTGTTCAACAAAGGCTCATGTATTCAAAAAAAGTTCATAGATATTGATAAAAAGTTCACGAAATCTAAAAAAATATTACTAATATGAGAAAAGTTTGTGAGTTTGAAAAAAGTTCAAGAAAATTTAATAAAGTTCACTAATTTGTGAAAAAGTCATATTTTTTTTAAATTTACTCATATTGAAAAAAATTCATCGATTTAAAAAAATCATCGATTTTTTTTTAAAAATAATTCCATTAGTTCCTTTTATTTTTAACAACAGAAAGAAAACGATGGGCCGAGCCCAACAAACCGCGCAAACGGGCGCTTAAGCGCCAAATAGGATCCGCCAACACACGCCCCGTAGGCGAGGAATCTCAGCCCGTCTTTGGGCTTGATTCTAAAAGGGCAAAGGACACACGATCAACAAGAACCGTTGATCTATGATCCGACGGTCCTTTTCTCAGATCGGCTGGAGTCTGCAGTATATATTGATCCCCCCACCCTCGGCCTCCAGGCCTTATCTCTTCGTCTCGCAAAAGGGGAGACAGAAGAGAGTTCGATTTCCGACTAAAACCTCTCGCCGCCGACGACCAAGCTCGGAGACCTATTGACCTAGGTATACGACGTTCCTCCTCCTCGCTACGTCAATCTCTTCGTCTAGCTGTCGTCGTATCGATATTCTTTCTAGGTTTAGATCTGAGCTTTTCCCGGCGGCAGATCCATGTGCTGTTCTTCTTCTCAGATGCGTATTATGAAATTCGATCGCCGTTTGTTAGAATAGGTTTGGATAGCGATGCTCAACTGGTATAAAGAAGGGGCTCTCCTTTTGGTTTCAATTTCACCGGTTAATTTCCGTCGATTTTCGATCTGGATTTCTCGTGGCTTGCCTCTATGCTTGTTCTGATCAGTCACGGCGGAAGACTTTATTCTTTGTAATTAGTTTGTGGTGGTAGATTGAGGTACAATTTGGGTAAGAGTAATCCCCTTTAGGATACCAAAAGCAAGAAGAACGACCCTGTTCCAGGACAAGATTCTTCTAGGTTGTCTACTAGTACTATGTCAAGCTAAGTGCTTCTGCTCATTCAAAATCAGTTGTCAACTTGAGATGTTCAGGCGGATAATCCTTAGGTTGCCTCCCAACTGATGCCAAGGACTGAAGTCAATCTTGTTAGTTAGTTGTAAATCCTTTTATTGAATATATATTGATCTGCCTTATTTTTGATGACTATTCAATCCGGGGTGCTGGCACTAGGTTATCCTTTCGTAAATAACTAACTCACAAACGCTAGTACTTTCTGCTAGGTTGAAGAACCCCTTGTACTTTGTGCCAGGTTGAACCCCCTTTTAGTTACTGACAGTTGTGTTTTACAGTTCCCAATGTCGGACGCAGATGATTACCGTTGCTTCGTTGGCAGTCTGTCATGGAACACAACTGATGTGGATCTGAAGGATGCTTTTGGGAAATTTGGTCGAGTTACTGAGACAAAGGTATATTTTGTTCTTTTCATATGGGCCTGGAATGCTTAGCTTTGTGTGGTGGAATATACACATGGTTTTCTTAGTCAAGCAATCTTCTTTCATATTATAGGCTTCCCCTCACCAATAATTACAATTTTGCCACTAAAAACTTGTCATGGTGAGATATGTAAACAACTGGAATAATTTCTTTGGTTAATATATCATTCATTCTGTCTATTTGGTGAATCTGTTCATGAATTTTATGCTAAGGTATGAATCTGCACTAGGTTTTGGATGATTCCTTGGTATGGTAGTTGTTTAAGTACGTTGTAGCATATGTGCATGTCTTATGGTGGTGTAGTACAATCAGGATCTGTTTGATATGTGAATAAGGAATCTGTAAACATTGCCAAGGAAATAATAGAGAATGGCGATGCTAGACACTGGCATTTCATGCTACTGATTTGTACCCTACATCAATAGTTGTTGTCTTCGCCGTTTCTAACTTTTGCAAGTCGGTGGTATATGCGGTTTGATACACCACTTTCCTTATGTTTTCTCTGGCTTGTTAACACATGTTGTCTGCCATGCTTTATATGCTGCATGTCTATCAATGTGCAGGTGGTTCTTGACAAGTTCTCTGGCCGATCACGTGGCTTTGGATTTGTGACTTTTGATGACAAGAAGGCCATGGAAGAAGCTGTTGAGGCTATGAATGGAATTGATTTGGATGGAAGGAATATTACTGTTGAAAGAGCACAACCTCAAGGTTCAGGCAGGGACCGTGATGGAGATCGAGACTATCGTGGTGGTGGTGACCGCTATGGTGGTGGCCGTGATTTTGGTGGCGGTCGTGGTGGTGGTCGTGGTGGTGGCGGTGATTGCTACAAATGTGGCAAGCCTGGTCATTTTGCAAGGGAGTGCCCATCTGGTGATGGTGGGGACAGGTATGGTAGCAGGGATGACAGGTACAGTAGCAGGGATGACAGGTACAGTAGCAGGGATGACAGGTACAGTAGTAGGGATGACAGGTATGGTGGCAGGGATGGTGCAAGGGATGACAAGTATGGTGGTAGCAACGGCAGCAGTCGCTATGGGCCTGACCGTGGTGGTGATCGCTATTCTGGAAGTCGTGATGGAGGAAGCCGCGGCAGTGGTGGCGGTGATCGATACAGCCGTGACAGGTCTGGACCGTATGATCGTCGCAGCCGAGATGAATACTGATCTTGATGGTGGAGATTCTGTCTCAGGTATGAAAGGTATTGGATAATACAAGTGGTATGTTTGCTTTATCACATAAGGCAGCAAATGGTTTGCTGTTGTACTCTTTATGAGAAGTTTAATGCTTTTGTTATCCATGCTGACTAGTGCTTGGTTTACCAATGTTCCTATCTGGATTTGGCTTGTAACCGGTTCCTTGGGAGCTTCAGTGGATTGCGTTATTTTGTCTGAGTAATATTTGGGATCCATGTTTCTGCGTTGCTCTGATGGTAAAAGTCCTGTCATGATACTGGTCTTTGGTGCTGTTCTTGTATTGCATCGCTGTGGTTATTGGAATTGCGGTCTTGATGTCAAGGATGTTGAAGAACAACAGCTCTTTATTTAGTCTTGTTGTGGTCTTGAGGAAAGAATCAACGTTCTGTGATTGGGGTAACTATAAAATATTCCATCTGAAACTTGTGACCAACGAAACAAATGGTAAAACCTTTTGTTTCAATTATTCCTTCTTAATAAGCTATGATTCTCACAGTAATTTTTCGCAGGCATTTGGCCTTTGTGTTCCTATTGGTCTGCTTGGCTTAGTGCTAAAACTTTGCTGTTCAACCATGGGTCCGAATGCTTGCTCTAGTACTGTTCTGTGGCACTTCCCTCAGTTAGACCAACATAAGATCTTGCTGGCATGGGTCACTTTGCTCATCAACACTTCTTTGGGCTCCTAGTATAACGCAATGCTTCCTTGGGAACCTGGAAAGAGTTGCTTGCTTCACTGGGATGGGCTCTCTCTTACCTTCATTCCTGCTGTAACCCAAGTCTGAGGGCCCTTAAGAAAGTTCTAGAATCTCCCATGTGAAGGTTGATCCTTTATTAATGTGTTTCTCGAAGGGGGAACTGTGTTGTTTCTCAGCGAAGGTCGCCTACACTTGCTTCTGGTTAACTTACGCAGCGAGAAGGTGTAGATGAAAATGTTTATTTGTAGGGTTCGGTGTCTTTCTTTTTGACAGTAGAGTGAGCTCCAAATGTTTTAAGAAAGGCAGCCTGATTCATATTGTGCCAATAATTTTGGCAGCCTGAGCTCCAACGATTTTGTTGTTGCTGTGTTTGCCTTCTGTAATTTTGTACAATACTTAATTCACCAGCTGTTGTCAAATGGATATGCTTGGTTCCAAATTATTGGAAGTTTGAGCTTTGTCGTAAGTCAAACTTCTATATTTTGTCTAGACAATGTTTAACTTCAAATATATTGAAACTAAGGAAGCGTGGGAACTGTTGTGAAGCAAGCATGGTTGTCTTGTTTGTCTTTTGTGGCATGTTTATATCCTTCTCTATCTTTGATTTGATGAAATGGTGGAAAGAAATACAAAATGTATTTCAAAGCCACAGTTTTGAAGTGCCTGAGTGTACGACAGCTTATGAATGCCACCATTATTTGCTTTATTGTTGGTGTAGGGGCGCTTATATTGGTTGTTTGCTCTTGCCTGTGAACTCGGCGCATAGATTTTGGGAAAACCCTCGAAGCAGTGCTTGTTTAGATTTTGTGGATATGAACTTCCTGGCGGCAGAGAGGCGAATGTTTGAACAAAGACATCTCTAAAAATAGAATAAATGGCGCACCAGCACCAATGTTGCCATCCACCCATTGAGGCTAGATCTTTAGGATTTCACTCTGAAGAGGAAGAGGAAGTTCGAGCAAACTAAAGATAATGCTTGCAAGATGTGGAACACCAACATAGTTGTACATGCTAGATCTAGAGTTTTCGCTCCGCTCTACCCTGTTCTCAAGAGGACCACTAAACACAAGTCACTGTGTACTGCCGCACCACTTCCAAAGAATAAGTCACTGTTGCAAGCTAAACCATCACAACTAAACAATTTTCACGTTCACATCCCTACGGCGGACATGACCACGCTACAAGACATACCACGTATCCGAGGGGGATGCCCGCCATCGTCACTGACGCCACCAAGAGCCCATTCATCAAAGGGCCATCCCACGTAGTCTTCGATGTTGGTTGAACACACACTGCAAGCATAAGAGCATCTCCAGCTGTTGGCCCCTCAGGCGGCGATTTTTCGCGTCCCCTGGGGGCGAGCCGACGCTAAAATCGGCACGGGGCAAGCGGGTTCCTAGCCGCTCGTTCCAGACGTGGTTTTTTTTTTCTAAAAAAAAAATCTGAATTCAGCAAAGTTCGGCTAAATTCAGCAAACCTGACATTAATATTCAACATGTTTGGCGTTACATAAATTAATTAAAAAAAGACATCTACGGGGCGAAGAAGTCGCTGAGCGCAGCGAAGTCGCCACCGTCCTCGTCGTCGGCGGCGGCCTTCTCCTTCTTGACGGCGCGGCTGTCCCTGCTGGACCCCTGCCTGGCGTCTCCAAGGCAGACCGATGGTGGCGGCGGCGCGTCGTCGTCGTCGCTGTCGTCGAGGACGACGACGCCTCCCTCGTCCCGGCCACAGCGTCGAGCTGAAGCAAATATGCCCTAGAGGCAATAATAAAGTTGTTATTTATATTTTTTTATATCATGATAAATGTTTATTATTCATGCTAGAATTGTATTAACCGGAAACTTAGTACATGTGTGAATACATAGACAAACAGAGTGTCACTAGTTTGCCTCTACTTGACTAGCTCGTTGAATCAATGATGGTTATGTTTCCTAACCATAGACATGAGTTATCATTTGATTAACGAGATCACATCATTAGAGAATAATGTGATTGACTTGACCCATCCGTTAGCTTAGCACGATGATCGTTTAGTTTGTTGCTATTGCTTTCTTCGTGACTTATACATGTTCCTATGACTATGAGATTATGCAACTCCCGAGTACCGGAGGAACACTTTGTGTGCTACCAAATGTCACAACGTAACTGAGTGAATATAAATGTGCTCTACAGGTGTCTTCGATGGTGCTTGTTGAGTTGGCGTAGATCGAGATTAGCATTTGTCACTCCGATTGTCGGAGAGCTATATCTGGGCCCTCTCGGTAATGCACATCACAATAAGCCTTGCAAGCAATGTAGCTAATGAGTTAGTTACGAGATGTAGTATTATGGAACGAGTAAAGAGACTTGCCGGTAACGAGACTGAACTAGGTATTGAGATACCGACGATTGAATCTCGGGCAAGTAACATACCGATGACAAAGGGAACAACGTATGTTGTTATGCGGTTTAACCGATAAAGATCTTCGTAGAATATGTAGGAACCAATATGAGCATCCAGGTTCTGCTATTGGTTATTGGCCGGAGACGAGTCTCTGTCATGTCTACATAGTTCTCGAACCCGTAGGGTCCGCACGCTAGTTCGGTGACAATCGGTAATATGAGTTTATATGTTTTGATGTACTGAAGGTAGTTCGGAGTCCCGGATATGATCACGGACATGACGAGGAGTCTCGAAATGGTCGAGACATAAAGATTGATATATTGGAAGCCTATATTTAGACATCGGAATAGTTCCGGGTGAAATCGGGATTTTACCGGAGTGCCGGGGGGTTACCGGAACCCCCCGGGGATTAATGGGCCTTGTTGGGCCCTAGTGGAGAGAGAGAGGGTCCGGCCAGGGCAGGGCCGCACGCCCCTCCCCTTGAGTCTAGGACAAGGAAGGGGGGCCCTTGCCTTTCCCCTTCCCCACTCCTCCCCCCTCCTAGTGGGACTAGGAAAGGAGAGTCCTACTCCCACTAGGAGGAGGACTCCTCCTCCTGGCACGCCCTGCTAGGGCCGGCTGGCCTCCCCCTTTGCTCCTTTATATACGGGGGCAGGGGGCACCCGAAGACACAAGTTGATCAGTTGATCTTTTAGCCGTGTGTGGAGCCCCCCTCCACCATAATCCACCTCGGTCATATCGTAGCGGTGCTTAGGCGAAACCCTGCGTCGGTAGCATCATCATCACCGTCATCACGCCGTCGTGCTGATGGAGCTCTCCCTCGAAGCTCTGCTGGATCGGAGTTCGTGGGACGTCACCAAGCTGAACGTGTGCTGAACTTGGAGGTGTCGTACGTTCGGTACTTGGATCGGTCTGATCGTGAAGTCGTACGACTACATCAACCGCGTTATCATAACGCTTCCTCTTACGGTCTACGAGGGTACGTGGATGACACTCTCCCCTCTCATTGCTATGCATCACCATGATATTGCGTGTGCGTAGGAATTTTTTTGAAATTACTGCGTTCCCAACAGTGGCATCCGAGCCACGTTTATGCGTAGATGTTATATGCACGAGTAGAACACAAAGGAGTTGTTGGTGTGGGTATATACATATTGCTTGCCGTCACTAGTTGATTCTTGATTCAGCGACATTGTTGGATGAAGCGGCTCAGACCGACATTACGCGTACGCTTATGCGAGACTGGTTCTACCGATGTGCTTCGCACACAGGTGGCTAGTGGGCGTATGTTTCTCCAGCTTTAGTTGAATCGGATTCAATGAACAGGGTTCTTTCTGAAGATCAAAAAGCAATCACTACACTGCATTGTGGTTGTTGATGCGTAGGTAAGAACGGTTCTTGCTCAGCATGTAGCAGCCACGTAAAACTTGCAACAACAAAGTAGAGGACGTCTAACTTGTTTTTGCAGGGCATGTTGTGATGTGATATGGTCAAGACATGATGCTAAATTTTATTGTATGAGATGATCATGTTTTGTAACACAGTTATCGGCAACTGGCAGGAGCCATATGGTTATCGCTTTATTGTATAAAATGCAATCGCCATGTAATTGCTTTACTTTATCACTAAGCGGTGGCGATAGTCATGGAGGCAATAGTTGGCGTGACGACAACGCTGCTTCGATGGAGATCAAGGTGTCAAGCCGGTGACAATGGTGATCATGACGGTGCTTTGGAGATGGAGATCACAGGCACAAGATGATGATGGCCATATCATATCTCTCATATTGATTGCATGTGATGTTTATTTTTTATGCACCTTATTTTGCTTAGATCGACGGTAGCACTATAAGATGTTCTCTCACTTAAATTTGAAGGTATAAGTGTTCTCCC